AGTAACTATGCTGGACATTATAAGGTTTACAAAGAATGGTCATGTATCTAATGGAAAAGCTAAGCAGATGGGGAGTCTAACACAGTGAAGAAAATGTTTACAATGCCTAACGCAGGAGGCGTTTGGAGACAGCAGATATTAATGGGAATTAACATATCAGAGAAAACAGGCTGGAGATTGAAAACCATGTAAGAATGAGATGGAGAGCAGCTCAAACTTAGATCAGAGAAAGAAATCTCAAAAAGAGATGATGTCAGGCATGGTGGTGCACACCTGTAACATTATCATTCAGGAGGCTGAGGAAAGAGGACTGCCACAAGTTCAAGGGCAGCCTGGAATATATAGTAAGACTGTGTCTCAGAGAGAGAGAGAGAGAGAGAGAGAGAGACAGAGACAGACAGAGACAGAGAGAGAACAATGGTATTTTAGTTTCTCTAGAATGTAAAATTCAAGAAGAAAAGTAGCAGGAAAGCAACTGGAAAAATAAGTTACAGCCAGATAAAGGCTGCTCCTGAATATTGGGCTGAGCACTAAGAACTTGATTCTATAAAGAATAAGGGATGACTGGGGCTGGGGATTTAGCTCAGCGGCATAAGTGCCCGCTTTGCAAGCAAGCAGTCATGAGTTCGATCCTCAGTACCGATAAAAAGGAAAAAGACAAAAAAAAAAAAAAAAAAGAATAAGGGATGACTAAAAAAACACGATTTACCTGAGCCTTCACCACCAAAGCTATACCTGCCAATGGAGTACTACTTCATACATAAATAATTGTACGTGTCTCATGATCAAAATGTTTAGAAAATTATGTAGTTTTAATTTGAATTAGAGCTTCAATCCACTTTAAGTTCTTCCTTTTGTAATTAATGCTACCAAACTAAGCCACATTTTAAGTATATGCTTATAAAGGTTCAAATATTTACAATATATTTCAGTGAACATTTCATATCTTGCTTCTGAATCACTTTTAGGATTTCGTGTGTATGTGTCTTAAAATAGATATGGATCTTATTTGCAAAAAAAAGCTAAATATATAATGGTCTCAGAGTAAGTGGTTTCTAAGAAATGAAAGCAGGTGGCACCTCTATTTCACCTCTTCCATTTTCTCTTACATCTAAAAATAATCCTTTCATTTTTGTGCCAATAAATAGTTCACTGAGTTTCTGTGATAATATTGTCTAAGGAGGTTTATAGTTATTAACACCAAAAATACATTTTACTATTATTTTCATATTAAATTATTAAACTCATTTAGGAATTTAAAAAGCTACAATACTTTTTAAAAAATTATGGAACGCTTCACGAATTTGTGTGTCATCCTTGTGCAGGGGCCATGCTAATCTTCTCTGTGTCGTTCCAATTTTAGCGTATGTGCTACCAAAGCAAACACAAAGCTACAGTATTTTTTAGATTTATTAGTACATGTTACAGTACATTATGATCATATTACTCTTGGTAATTCCTTTGGAGTTATCCTAAGCTAGTTTGTAACACTCAAATAAAAAGTAAACATGTATTCAGCTATCACTTTAAATTCACAGCAGTAGTAAAGCAAATATTTCATGGTTTGTTAAGAAACCAGTTACAGAGAAAAGAGAAAACTCTGCCCATTAAATGACCTGTAGCCTCTTCCTCACGACCTTGCAGGCAGGGGAGCTGGCACACAGCCCACAGTTGTCTCTTCTCCTCCAAGTGACCTTGCAGTGTAAATATTTCATGTTTAGGCATTATTTTGAATTTTAAAAGTTAAAATCCTGCCCCATGTGAGGGTGCACATTTGTATCCTATCACTTGAGAGGCTGAGGCAGGAGGATCACTACAAGTTTGAAGCCAGCCTAGCATACAGTGAGTTCAAGGCCAGCCTAAATTATGAAGCAAGACCTTGTCTCAAAAATACCTACATGCACAAATACATAAAATTAAAATCCCTATGTTGAGTAGTACAGAAGCTTGAGATAATGCACTATTAAAGGCTACTGCTTTGAAATGCTACATTGAGTATAGCAACATACACCATTTACCTAGACTGGCTGCCTAGTATCTGTCTTAAAAACCATAAACTTTGCAGTCTGAACATGAAGTTGGCCATGAACACTAAAGTGAAAAAAAATCACTGTGCACCTGAACAACATAGTTTAGGCACAATTATATACTATATATATATATATATATATATAGTCCTATCTGTAGCTATTAGAATGAACCATTTTTTAAAGCTAATTTCTGTATAATCAAATTGTCCACATAAATCATTCAAATATAGTCACTGAAGTAGTATAAATTAAGCTACAAATCTGCCAATGTTTTTTGATGTTTACATGATTGGCAAGACTTGGTGTGTCTTAAAGGGAAACTTCAGGGAAATATTTAAAAATGGTATACAGCTATGACCAGCTATGTAAGAATCCAGTTTGTTATTGTTCTCAGTCAAAAAAAAAAAACCTACCAAGTTAAAGAATTAAAAGGGCTGGGGATGTAGCTCAGTGGCAGAGCACACCTGGATTCAATCCCTGATAGCATAAAAACAATAATTACATAAACATCCAGCAAAGTAGGAGCTCAGCATTGAAACATTTGCCAAACAGGTATGAGGGTGTGAGTTCAATCCCCAGTACCAGGAGGAGGAGCAGGAGGGGGAAGGGGGAGGGGAGAAAGAGAGAGGGAATAAGGGGGAAGGAGAAAGGGGGAGGAGAGAAGAGGAGAAGGAGGAAGACGACAGTAGTAAGACACCAAGTTAGAATGCAGGTTCTGAAGTGGAAAGGTATAGCAGGAAAGGATGTCTGGAGCCGGACATTAGGGGGATGATGTACACTGTGACAACTTTTGATAGGAACTGAGTGAGCATCACTGAAAGTTTGAAGCAGGGTGTAGGGTGATAGAAATAGTACTCTTGGAAGATACAACCGGAAGACACAAGATCAAACGTGCAAAACACCAAAAGTAAGGAGACCAGTTAAGAGAATATCCGAAAACCAGCATGGTGCAATAGTTAGTTACTGCATAGATTCTGGAGATAGACTGAGTTCAAATCTAGTTCCATCACCTAAGAGTTTTATCATTTCCTTTAAGTCTTCTGTGCTTGTTTCCTCAGACACAGAGATTGGTACAGTAACTTTTACAGAAGGCAGACTGTCTAGAGTTTATGACATTTTCAGGCACATAAAGCCACTCTTGCTAGACATGGTATGGCACACATAGGAGGCAGAGGCAAGAGGGTCACTATAAGCTGGAGGTCAGCCTGGGCTACAGAATAAGTTTAAAGCCAGCCTCAAACACATAGCAATACGCTGTCTCAAAAAGCCAGAAGAGACAAACAAAGAAACTATTTTTTTTAAAGATACTATTCTTAACACAAGCTATCATTAAACATTACTGCTTTAGTATTTCAGGAAGAAATAGAGGTGTTTAAACAAATCTGGTGGGACATTTTCAACCGCCAGATCACAAACCTGGGGAAAGTACCCTGGTATTACCCAGTGTGTCAGTCACAGAACTCTGTCTTGCTCAGGAAAAAAAAAAAAATCCCTAAAAGACTTAGGATATAAAGAAAACCTGGTGGTCCTCACTATGTGTAGCTTGCTAACTCATGAGCCCGATACCACAATAATGTAATATTCAACTAATGATAAATTGTAATTGCCACAAATAGTTCAATATCAAGCATTCATTTTTATTTTTTCCTGGAAACTCGGTACGTTTTGTTTTGTATTCTGAGACACTGTCTTGCTAGGCTGGCCTTAAACTCGCAGTGATACTCCTGCATTAGCACCTCCAGTGCAGGAATTACAGGTGTATACCAGGACATGGGAGGCTGAGGCAGGGCTGCCAGGAGCTCAGGACAGCCTGGGCTACATAATGAGTTCAAGGCCAGCCTGAACTGCATAAGGAGACCATCTATCTCCTATTTTTTTCCTAAAATTTCATAAAGGATTTTAAGTGCTTAAAGATATTTTTTAAATACTTGTTTCATTTTTTGAAAATTTGTATATTCTTAATGTAACACCGTACTTTCTGTAAAGATGACATTGTGTTACTGTTCATTGTAGCAGAGTTCAGCTTCCAACTTCCCACACTTGAGAGTGCCATAATACTAAACTTTGAACCTATTACACCGCCGTTTCCAGAAACTTAAATTTAAACCAAGATTACAGGGCAGTCCTTTCAAACATCTATCTCTACCAATACACCAGCGTAACTAGTTCTTTTATAACCACCTCTTTCCTCAAAGATACGGTAGTAATCTGTGCTTTTGGACTTTCCACCTTATCCTGTTGGCAAAGATCTAAAATTCATATTAAAGAAGCAAAATCTGGGAGGCTGAGGAAGGAGGTCCCACTTTTGAAGGCATCTTGGGCATCTTAGTAAAACCTTGTCTCAAAACAAAAACTACTGGGTATGTGGCTCAGCGCAAAGCGCCTGGGTTCAGTCGCAGTATGTGCGACAAATCCTAGGGTGGCAGCTGCGTCCCCGGTTCCTGCGCCGCACCTGCCGGCGTGACGTCTAGGTCCGTCTCCGTGTGAGCCCAGTCGGCTCCCGAACCCCGCTCCCGGCCTGGCCCTCTCCCTCGTCCTTCACAAGGCTGCACACGGCGCCTGGGATGCACCCAGAGTGTGTGCGTTCCCGCCCCGCCCCCAGGCCCCGGCAGATCCCGGCTGAACACCGCCCGCAGTGGAACCCCCAAAGGCGCTCGGGCCGAGAGGAGAGAGGGAGCCCGGCAGGCGCGGCGCAGCTCTCTCACAGCCTGAGCCGCCGAGACCCGAGGCTGCGCTGTGCTCCTGCGCGCCCACGCTGCCCGGACACGGCCGCGCCCGCCGAAAACATGGCTTCTGCGGGTTCCCGACCCCTACGCTGTCGCCGTCAGGGAAGACAGGGACCGCAGCCGCGCGAGTGCGCCCGCGGGATCACATTCCGCGCCCGCCACGCCCGTGCGGCGCAAACGCACAGTGCCTTGCTGAGGCGGACGGCTACTTCCGGGATGACTCACTTCCGGCCTCTGGCTATCGCGAGAGACGACGGAAGTCTCACTACAGGACTCTGCAGAACGTAATTTTCTTTTGGTTTCTTTTGATACAGGGTTTCTTTGTGCAATCCAGACTGGCGTTGAACTCACTATGGAGCCCAGACTATCCTCGAACTCGCGGTAACTCTCCTGCTTCAGCCTCCCGTTTGCTGGGATTACAGGCGAGCGTCACCATGCCCTGCCCAAACTCAATTTATTTAACCTGTTGTTCCTACAGGGAGAGATTTTAATTCGGTGGCAGAGAAGTGCCTGAAGCGGAAGTCCCGCCCTTCGGCCAGGAAGGAAGTGGAAATCTCTGGCTACCGGGTTCTCCCTGTAGTGCCTGGTGGCGGAACGTGCTGTGGATTGAGTGGTCCTTGCTGTCAGCTCGGAGGTGACTGGAATCTGCATCGCTGCAGAAGCTGAGACGGTGTGGGAGCCATGGAGGGAACTCGGCGGCGCGGAGCCGCCCAGTGGGCAGCCGTACGAGCCAGAGGAGGTCGCGCCGCAGCAGACGCTAATGAAGACGATTTAGGTGGGCCACCCTCACCCGGGGACTCCAGCTACTACCAAGATGAGGTAGATGACTTCCATGAGGCACGAGCCCGGGCAGCGTTGGCCAAGGGCTGGAACGAGGTGGAGAGCGGGGTGGAGGACGATGGCGAGGAGGAGGAGGAGGAGGTGCTAGCCCTAGATATTGGCGATGAAGACGAAGACGGAGAGAGTGCGGGCGAGGAGGAGGATGGCGATGATGAGGATGACGACAGCGGGAGCTCTGTGCGGAGTGAGGCCGAGGCCTCTGTGGATCCCAGTTTGTCTTGGGGTCAGAGGAAAAAACTGTACTACGACACGGACTATGGCACCAAATCCCGAGGCCGGCAGAGTCAACAAGAAGTAGAGGAGGAGGAGCGAGAGGAAGAGGAGGAGGCACAGGTCATTCAGCGGCGCCTAGCCCAGGCCCTGCAAGAGGAGGATTTTGGAGTCGCCTGGGTGGAGGCCTTTGCAAAACCCGTGTCTCAGGTAGAACAGACCGAGACAAGGGTCTTGAAGGATTTAACTAAAGTATCAGTGAAAGAGAAGCTGAAGATGCTGCGAAAGGAATCACCAGAGCTCTTGGAGCTGATAGAAGACCTAAAACTCAAGTTAATACAAGTGAAAGATGAGCTAGAGCCATTGTTAGAGTTAGTGGAGCAAGGAATCATTCCACCCGGAAAAGGAAGCCAATACCTGAGGACCAAATACAACCTCTACTTGAACTATTGTTCCAACATCAGTTTTTATTTGATCCTGAAAGCTAGGAGAATCCCCGCAAATGGACATCCTGTCATAGAAAGGCTTGTTACCTACCGAAATCTGATCAACAAGCTGTCAGTTGTGGATCAGAAGCTGTCCTCTGAAATTCGACATCTGCTTACATTTAAGAATTGTGCATTAAAGAAAGAATTGAACCCAAAATCAAAACTCACCAAGGCCAAGCCAAAGCCTGCTTCAGAGATCCCTGCTTCTGGCAATCTCTCTGATGATTCAGATTTTGATGAAGAAGCTGCACTGAAATACTATAAAGAAACAGAGGACAGGCAAAAGTTAAAGAGAAAGAAGGAAGAAACTAGCGCTGAAGAACAGGCCCTTGAAGATCTGAATTCAAAGAGAGCCATTACCTATCAGATGGCTAAAAATAGAGGACTCACACCAAGGAGAAAAAAGATTGATCGAAATCCCAGAGTGAAACATAGGGAGAAGTTCAGAAGAGCCAAAATTCGAAGAAGAGGCCAGGTTCGTGAAGTTCGACGAGAAGAGCAGCGTTACAGTGGTGAATTATCAGGAATCCGTGCTGGAGTTAAAAAGAGCATTAAGCTTAAGTAAAATGTTTGCTTTGTTTTTTTATTTTTTAATGTTTGCTTTGTTTTAAAAAGGTTTTTGGCAATCAGGTTAATAAATTTTTATTTTTAAATAAAGTGATTGTGTTAATATATTAAGTTAATTTAAAAGTTAATGCCAGGGAAGCAGGGTTTTTGGCAATCAGGTTAATTTTTATTTTTAAATAAAGTGATTGTGTTAATATATTAAGTTAATTTAAAAGTTAATGCCAGGGAAGCAGGGGCTTTTTGGTTGGTTTATGTGCTCTTTAGATGCTGTTAAAGTCATTAAGAATTGTAGGAACGGGGCTGGAGATTTAGCTCAGCGGCATAAGTGCCTGCCTTGCAAGCAGGCAGTCGTGTGTTCGATCCCTGGTACCGGTAAAAACGAAAAAGACAAAAAAAAAAATTATGGAAACAGTATAAAGATGTTTGAGGAAAGAGGTGATGCTGAAAAAAGTTGTGCAAAATCATGTTAAGTATTAGCCTGGGAAACTTTCCAACTCAGTTAATTGTGGAATGTTAATGGGATTTAAGCACTTGCGTAAGTTTTTACATAAATAGTCTGCACCTTAGGCATTGTCTTATCTGTAAGATAGTCTATAAAAATGGTTCTGCCATATATTTAATTAACCTAGCTACACTACTTGGGCAGGATACTTACTAATCCATGAGTCTTAACATTGAAATGAATTTGTATATTTTGTGATAAAAGCATAGGAATAAAGAACTTTGGATTGCAAGCAGAAAAAGGAAAAATAATGCCTTAATTACACCAGTTGTGAGTATTTTCTAATAGTCTTTTATATAATAAGTAAAAATGGTTTCCCTCTGTGCTGGTGGTTTGCACCTCTTGCTGTTTATACTCCTTTTGCTGATTTGGGGTGAGGGGGGCGGTTACCAGGGATTCAACTCACAACCTTGCACTTGCCAGGCTTGCTGAAATTTTTTAAAGATTAAAGATTTTTTAAAAAGATTAAGTAGCAGCTTAATCTTTAAAAGTTGCATGTTTCCTACAGTTACTTTAGTCTGTCTGCTAAGGGAAATGTTGATAATTTTAAAATTAGGATAATGCAAGGGAAGTAAATGAGAGGACTGGCCACTAAAAGCACAGAACTCTTTATCTCTGCCACTGCTAATTCATTAAATGTGCTGTAACTGCTAGAGATGCACAGATAATTAGTAGTTCGTAGTTACCAACACCATGTATTAGCTGTACATCTTGTCGTCTGCAGTGTCAGAGCGGCTCTGTGTTACAGGTGGTACAAAGTTCTGGGAGGTTAACCTCCTCTTAGAACACCTGCTTGTGATTCAAACCTGAACTAACAATGTGAGCATTTGTTCTCTTTATACATGGCATATACCTTCCTCCTCAGACTACCACACTTGTCACATTCTTTTTGGTTTTCTTAAAAGATGTAGGTTGGAAGTGAAAGTAGCACCGAGTCCTTGCTACTCTGAATACGTTGGTTCTGCTTACTTCTTTATTCTTCAACAAACGTATGTGGTAAATTCTGTTGTCTACATTTCAAAGATGAGGAAATTGTGGCAAGGAGAATGGACTTTACCTGAGTCACCTAGCTAATAAGTAACAGAGGCAGGATCTCAACCCAGCCTCTCTGGTTTCAAGAGTCCAATCCCATACTTCCTTTTCTGATTAAAGTAGAAAAAATACAGATTTCGGAGTTATTTACCAGGGTATTTCTGAATTACCCTCTGAGTTGCATTTTCTTTTACCCTTGAGCAGCCGGAGAAGTGGTTAAGAGCAGACGAGTTAGGATACTCAAGTTCCTAACCCAGCCCCAACACTTAGTACTTGGGACTTTGGTAAGTTTCTTGGTGCCTCTGGAACTTTGTTGTTTTAATCTAGAGCTTGAATAATAGGAGTACCTTCTGACTGTGGTGTTCTAAGGGCTAGGTGAGATTCAGGACAGCATCTGCTACACAGCAACCATCTTAAGAGTGCTAGCTTGGTGTGGAGACAGCACCAAAATGTGTGGACCAGGTCTCAGTGAAAGTTTGGTATTCTGTGTCAGACCCCTGAGATAGAACTGGTAGAGCAAAATGTTTTAAATGAAAAATCTTCATTTGGAAACTGGAAAAAATTAAAGCCTGAGACTGTCAGATATTTCACAACATTGTACTCATCTGGATGAGCTAGGATGTAACTTGCAGTCTTATAAGCAAGACCTGGCTTGTCTGATGTGAGTTAATAGCAAAACAAGTTGCTGGGTTTAGCATTCATGTCTTCCAAAATTAGTTTTTGTTTTTTTTTCAAGACAAGGTCATGCCTGGGCTTGAACTCACTATTTAGCCCAGGCAGACTGAACTGGCGGTGAGCCTCCTGCATCAGTGCAGGAATTACAGGTGTGTGCCACCACACTCACAGCCAAAATTAGTATTTAACTTTTAGAGAAAACTCAAAGGCACCCAGTAGTTTTGATTTGTGGGCGCATGAATAATAAACCAGTATAATAGTCACTTTTCAGAGACTGAACAAGGCATCATAATCAGAATTGCAATAAGGTAGATTACTGATATCAGGCATCAAGACAAAACAACCTGTTTTATGACAGCATAATAAAAAAGTGGACCCCATATCTGTTATCCCAGTACTCAGAGGCTGAGGCAGGAGAGGATCACTGGCAGTTTGAGGCCAGGTGGGCTATATAATGAGTTCCTCAAAAACAAAAAATCGTAGATAGGGACACAAAATTAAAGTACAGGAAAATCTTAATGATGAATACCATTAACTTGCTGATTGGCTTTTGGCTAGCTGACGTTTCTAAACCACGGTTTCTTATCTATATGTATTCTTAGCTATAAGAGGTTAAACACTCCTTTTTTTGTATAGAAATAAATTTTATTTAACAGGCCTCTGAAACTATCTAATAGTTTGCACTTGGAAAGCTGGAAAGTTATTTTTGTGCCCTTTGTAACTAGGTTAGATAACTGGCTTGATATATGCACATCACCAAATGTATTTGAAATACTGAAGGATTGCTTATTTGCTTAAATTAACTTAAAAAAAATTTTAAGTTAATTTGTTGAAATATACAAGTTAACATTAAGAAAATAGTTTAATTTTTTGTAAAGAGGGTAAAACAACAAAGCAGATCAGAAGAAAACAATGTAAGTGACAAAAATTTCAAAGCAAGACAATGGGAGATCAGCAGTGGCTACCATTATGTCTTGTTTTCTTCTAAATAGTTGACTATATCTTCACACACGATGAATTCATACAAAGCAAAATAGTATAAAACTGATTAAAACAGAATAATGAAGGCATTGCAAACCAGACAACAGGAAAATCAGGGGCTGGGGATTTAGCTCAGTGACATAAGCGCCTGCCTTCCAAGCACACGGTTATGAGCTTGATCTCCGGTACCATCGAAAAGAACTAAAACAAGAAAATCAACAATGGCTACTGTGATGTCTCTTGTTCTATTCAAAATAGCCATCCATACTACCAAAATAGTTTAGAAAAAATTTAGGACTTTACATGCCATGAATGAGGAGATTGAATTGTTCATAATCAAAGGAAGTAGGATTCAACTGGAATTTAAATCAAACTGGAAAAAGTATCTTCAGGTAATTTTATTTTTTTAGATACTTGCTTTAGGTGTGTATTCACATGATACATTGATTATTAGCTGTTCTCCCAGAATTTGGGATTGACCCAGGGCCTTTGCTATGAAATTGTGTTCCAAATCCTTTTTAGGGACACATCTTACTAAATAATCAAACAGGCTAGGCTGGAACTTGCACTCCTCCTGCCTCAGCTTCCCACCTGGAACATAACATCATCCCCATAATTTGTATTCTTTAAAAAAATAGCCAGGCATGATGGCATATGTCTATAACCCCAGCATTCAAGAGACTTGAGGCCAGCGTGGAATACATACTGAAACCCTGTCTCCAAAAACAAAACAATTTTATATTTGTTTCAAAGTGAAGTTTAAATGGTAGTAAAATACCAATAATCAACATATGTTGGACTAAAAACAACCTGGACATTAGTAAAATATTTTAAGAAACATAGAAACCAGGCATGATGACATAAACTTGTAATACCACCAATTAGGGAGGTGGAGGCAGGAGGATCAAAAGTCTGAGCCCAGCCTGTGCAATTTAGAAATACCGAGTTTGGCTGGGCATGATGGTGCACACCTGTAATCCCTGCACTCAGAAGGCTGAGTCAGGAGGACCACTGGTTCCAGGGCAGCCGGGGCTACCCAATGAAATCAAGGCAGCCTGAACTGTAAAGCAAGACATTTTCTCAAAAGAATAAGGTTTCAAGTTTTTGTTTTTTGTCTTTTTGAGATGGTTTCACTGTGCAGTTAAGGCTGGCCTGGAACTCACTTTGTAGCCAGGTTGACCTTGAACTCAGCAATCCTCCTGCCTCAGACTCCTGAGTGCTGGGGTTACAGGTTCCATGTCCTTAAAAAGGGCACAGGGCTAGGCATGGTAATACATATCTGTAATCCCAGCACTCAGGAGACTGAGGCAGGAGGATTGCCAAATTCCAGGCCAGCCTGGATTATATACTCCAAAGCCAATCTGTACTACGTAGCAACCCTGTCTCAAAAAGCTAAATGATTTAAAAAAAGAGGCTCAATATAGAGGCCCTAGCACCCCCCCCCCCAAAAGACTATATAGGTATCTATAGTCATATATTTTACATATATGAGACTATACACACACACACACACACACATATATGAGAGTGAGAGGGTTAGAAACTGAATTGAGTTCAGACTTTACTACAGTTTCTCATTTACCATGTGTCTTTGATCTGTATACCTAGCCTCTCTGTGCCCATTTCCTCACATTGAAAAAATATATGATGGTTATAGCCACTTAAGTAGTTACTCTATATAACATTTAGGAAAGTCCTGGGTAGATGGTAAGTGCTTAGTATCATGTGAGCTCCCTGGGCTTTGCCATTTTAATAAAAAAAACCCTACTACATTTGAATGAGTTTGTTTCTCCTTTGTTCTTAAACTAGAGAGCCTAAGAATGAGTGAAGTTTAAAATGCAGATCCCCACAGCCTAGCTCATTCTGACTCAGCACACTTGTTGCAAATCCCAGAGAGCTC